GCTAGCCAAGACCAAAGGAAATAGAAAACTAATATGGGAAAATCAGTGCCAATCTGTAGCACCACTAGTTTTATTACTTTTTTAAAGAAAGGCTTCAAGCATTTCTGATAAATAATCACACATTTTGATAAATTAAAAGTATTGCCGCTAAAACAAGACATACTTTTCACATTATTATACTACTATACGAACTAGCAAAAGTGTTTTCAACCAGAGTTTTCCAACACCGACACTCGAACTCAGGCTTTCAGAGTTAACTCGCCCTGCGCGTTTCCTCAACGCCATTGAATAGCTCTGACATTCTTACTCGTGCCGACGTTTAACAATTTAATTGTTTAACCCAATATTTCCATCTCCCTGCTTTTGAAACTTCAGAGTGATCAAGGAAAACTAGACTTACAACCATTCTTCTAAGCATTTCTTTTTTTAACACGGAAAGAATACAGACGATAATTAGAGCAGTTTTTGAGAAAAAGTTACTTTAATAATTTGCATTAATTTCAACCAGATTTAACGTGAAAACTACTATTTTTTTCAAAACATTTTACGTGCATTTTTTTAAATGCTGAGATTTTAGAACTATTTGTATATAATGCAAAAATCTTATCATCAATTTAAGGTCGCAACAACATCTAGGTCATTAGCGACCACTATTGCTTGTAACGGTATGGTAACTGTGGGTTTACACGATAATGATAATGATAGGGGGTGAAAGGACGAACACAAATACAACCATGCCCGAGGCGGGACATGAATCCGCGATCCTTCAGTTCGAGATCGCTACGACACAACAGCCTTAACGATCTCTGGACGACTCATCTTCAATTTTGTAGATTTGAAATGTTAGCTTCTTTTCGAAAATAAGTTCACCGGAAATGACAAGAGCACCATTTTTTGCGTCCTTGGATACATACGAAAACAAAATATAAAGATATAATTCAGCTGCAGCAACAAGCAGTTTTTTTACAATAAAATGGTTTTAAAATATTGACAATATTTATGCAAAATTTCGCAAAAGCTTCTATTTTTTCGAAACGCTGTACACGACCTTCATTCAAGTCCTGCAATAAAAAAAACAAATTTTTACTAAGGAAAAAATATTTTTCTTCAATAACGAAGTTGTAGAAAGGCCTTTAGAAATTGCCCATTTGCAATTTAAAAAAAAAATCAGTCAAATCAACCAAAGTGAGACTTATACCATTCGCATAAGATTTTTTTATGCTACTGAACTGAAGACAAACATTAACAGTAAAATCAGGTGCCATTTTTAAGAACATTTTGAAAATAGTTTTTGAGGTTTCAAAAATCCCCTCACAAGTACCCTCAAAAATCAAATTATCAGTTTCAAATCCTAAAAACTGTGTTTCAGATCGATGGGGAAATATCAAGTTTGCAGAAACTCGACTGAACGGTTTAGGCGCTTAGGCACCATACACGGGCAAACGTTTCCCGTCAATCAATTTATATATATCCAGGACTCACAATACATAAATTCTTACTACACAACGTGTTGGAGGACGTAATTTACTATCTGTTGGAACACGTTCTACCTTTTTTCGTAACCAGGGCAACGCAATAAATTTATGTGCCGAAAATTCGCCGTTTTCCAGTGCACGATTACGATTCTTTCTCCATTTGCGAAGTGCAGAAATAGAAAGTTTCTGTTTCATATCTCAATACGCAAATAGCGAACATTTAACTTCCTTAATGTATTAATTATTAGCGATTATATATAATCGTGTATTTACTATGACTGTAATACACTTAGATTAACGTAATGTCGGTCCGTAAATTAACGTAAGTAACGCAGATTTCGAATATTTGAAAACCCCCTCTCTCCTGTAACGCACTCGTAACGCGCGCTGAACCCCTCTACATAATGACGTAACGGTTGCTACACCCCTGAACATTAAACCACACATTAAACCACAGTCAAAGATCTTGTATTTTTGTTGGATATTAAAACGTATGATAATTAAAGGCGAAATTAGTTGGTGATGCTGACTACACCTAACAATAAGATTGGGGGCAAGTTGTGAGTGAATGAACGACGTATAAGCTAGAAAGTATTTAAATTTCAAAAAACTCGAGTTTTTAATAAACACCTGCACCATTCTCTTAAACGTCCTTTACAGCATCCAAAAACAAAACTTCATTTATACCGATGGAGCTATTTTAAGAAAATTTTGAAAATGTCTCCGGGGTCTTCATGTAAAGTCTCTCCCAGATTTAAAATATCGATTTCAAATTCAAGGCGCCATGACATTAGCCAAATTGACAGGAGAATATCAATTTTGAATAAAATCTGCTGATCAGTTTTCTCGCTATAGTTGTTCGCAGACAGAAGACAGGCGGACAGAGAGACGTTTTGCCGTCAATCGACTTTTCAGTATCAAGGACTCACAAAAATGGATTTTGGCTACACCACGTGTTAGTGGATTTTTTCGAAATTTAGCAACTGGATTTATCCACTATTTTGTTACCAGGACCCTTATTGCTATTGTTATTATTATTATTATTATTATTATTATTATTATTATTATTAGTCTATAGAAGTGCGAACATAGAGTAAAATCAAAGGATAAACCCCAAATATTCGCAATTAATTTTCAAAATTTTATTTTAACGAAAATCTACAACATTACACATGCCTGTTTTATTTTTAGTTTCTAGACAAATTTAGCTTCAATCTACGATCTCGCGGCAATGAAGCTTATTATCTGCTGTGACGTGGTCTCTAATTATTATTCAACGTCCGGACGAGACTCTCGGGAGTAGGGAGGAAAAGTTCGTCTGTGACGTGCACTGCGCATAATTATAGCTTGCAGGAACATATTGCGCGAAACGCAAAATGTATTTTAAATAGTTAATAGTTAAAATAATTCTGTGTTAATACATTTAGAACCTAAAATATTTCTTGCTTTTATTTCCATTGAAAATAATTTAGGGAATTTTTTGTTATTTTTAAGGGTAGAAACTAAGTTACCAAACCGATATTTCAAGAAATTAACATGAACATATTTCCTTTAAAATTTTGCAATTTTTCTTGAGCTGATACAAGTGATGTACACGGCTGAGGTTTTTCTCAGTGCAAGAACTTTCAATATCTCCCATGAATGTGTAGCGGGACATGTGCACCTTGTGCCAAGGGGACTCAATAAAATCTTCAATTAGGACTCAATAAGGACTCAATAAAATCTTCAATTATTCAAAGCGTAATTTGCAACATCAAATTCATATCGTATATTTAAATTTTCAAGCCAAGTAACAGTTCTGTCTCCAGATTGACAATATAGAGGCAAGAAAATAACAATGATTAAGAAGAGGAAGAAGAAGTGTGTGTAAGCTTTAGTTTTATTTGACACATTATACTATGTTTTCATATAATATTAGAATTAGAATTATGCCGTCACCTCCGTGAAAATTTTGAAAGTCCCTGGATAATAAACATTATTACCGTAAGTATTTTAAAAACAACGAATGGAACTAATAAAAATAATGTATAGAACATAGTAAATATATTTTAATTTTTTCAATAATTATGACAAATGGATACACATCGTATTATGACAATTATGACAAAGAGATTATCGTATCTATGTTTCAGTATCATTGCCATATTGTCTATAGATATAAAATATGAAATATTTCGGTGATTTATTTGTTAATACATGTAGTAATCATTAACTCGTCTGGTTATTTTTCAATAATTAAAATTACGTTTTATATTTATTTATACCATGTTTGAAATTAGTGAAATTATATAAAATGTATAAATTAAAATGTGGAATGACGTATGGGAAAAATTGTAAAATTTTTCCTGAAACTATGAAAAATTGTACAAAGAATAATTACAGTGTAACGGATGAATGCTGGTCAAAAGTATGAATAAACTTTCGCATCTACCGAGAAAGGTGGCCAACCCAAACTCGATCCTCACATAGAAACGCCATGCGTCAAAATGCGTCAAAAACTCCGAAATCAGTTGAAAACTGCTAAAAACATCGAAAAAAGTATGAAATTACCCGTCAAAAATAAACCCGTCAAAAATTTCAAAACTTCAAAAATATGCTGAAAATTGTTAAACAAAATGTTCTTAGGTGAATATAAAAACTTTATATGGACGTTTCAGAAATACCCTCTCGTTTGAGGATGCGCACACCCACGGCAACTACGTGACGACTGATGGATGAAGACTTATGTGTCTTGTGATAGAAGGAGAAAATCTACATTTCGTTCAAAAGCAAAACAAGAGAACACATTCACATTAATATTTGTAATAGTTATTCTTCATGCCTTCATATTTGAAGAAACTGTTCAAACCAATATTAAAAAAAACGATAAAAAATATGAAATAAGTATAGAGATGTACAGTTGACATAAATGCTGCTGGAATAAATCTGCTCGTCTGCAAGATCTATGGTATGCTGTGACGCGACCGGGCGTCAATTAGGTGCCCGGACGAGAGCTATCCCGGAAGTTACGAGGAAAACTCCGCCGAGAGCGAGGGCACGCGGAGAGGCGCGGGAGGGCCGACCGGCGGCGGCAGGGGGAGACCGGGCTGCCCGCCGCCCGCCGCCGCCGCTCGAGGATGCGTCACGCGACAGACCTTCTCTCGAACGCGCATATAAGAAGAGCGCGCCCGACCACGGCCAGTTCACGCCGCGACGTCGCACCACCCGGCACGCAGCCAGTCTACGAGAGAGAAAATCACGCAGCGTGCCGACACGTGGTGGGACCACACTCGCCAGACACACCGCGGCGGTAGAAATCGTACGTTGCACAAGGTCGACCGGGTCGCAGCAAACACCCACTTGTGCACTTTTCAGCCGAGCATCGGTGCACAGCACGACAGAATACGTATTGAGAAACGACTTGTCCGCGCGGCAAATTTTGAGTTGACGTGTCAAATATTGTCCCGGGTGGCCGTAAACAAAAGGCGCGAGACGCTGAGACCAGTGCGATAAAGACAACAGCAACCGAGAACAAGAGATATAAAAATGGTGTCCCTCAAGGTCCAGAAGTCGGCCGCCTGCGCGTGGTTCGCGATGGCCCTCCTCACAGTGGCGGCGAGCGCTACCCACGCTCGGCACCACTTCCACCGCCAGAAGAAGCTGGTGGAGCACAACGCTCGGCAGGTGATGCGGCTGAAGGAGCGCGGGCCGCAGCCGCGCGTGGTGGGCGTGGCGCCGGCGCTGCACCTCAAGTCGTCGGAGATGGTGGAGCCCTGGCTGACGGTGCTGCACCGCTGCGACGAGGTGGCCTGCTGCGCCTTCAGCCAGATGCCCGGCCAACGCTGCCTGCCCAAGCAGGAGCGCGTCACGCTGTATTTCCGCGCAATCGACATAACCTCCAAGACGTGGCGCATCATCCAACATGAGTTCTTCAACCACACCGAGTGCGCCTGCCGTGCCGTCGACCACGGGCCGTAGTAGTGGGAGCTCGGCCCCTGATGTCGTGTGACCCAGGTGATGCTGAATGTTTCTGTGCGAGAGGAATCGTTCACCATCTTCTCGGTATAGTTTTTGTGGCAATGGACAACTCATTGTTAAAGAGGAACGTCACTTTCTAACTATAATTGCTGATGATGGCTTTAAGAAAAGCACATCTTATTAAGCGTCAGGAACGTTTTCTAAATTGTAGAAGGAAGTTCTTAACATTAGAACACGGTAAAAGCTCATGCTATGTCACAAGATATATTCATTCTTTGTCACACTTCACAACTGATGCAGTTAAGTTGATTAAAGCAATGAATAACTGATTTCTTTCATCTTATACAACACCAACGTAATACGTATATCATACTATGTGAAAGTACTGGGTTGACGAAGAAAGTGTCATTCAAACCCGTTTTATAAGAGATTCAAAATTACTGGTTGTTCATTCTTCATATATCATTTTATTTCATTTTTATTTAAAATTTTCCATACGCAATATGTCAAAGTATCGAAATAATTATACGATGTGCTGCTATACGTTGTATGTCTGAATGATTAAAAAAGTTGTAAATGAATAATTTATAAGTGATACCGGTATGAACGACACTATTTCCCGCTTCGTGAATTCTGGTGCTGCGTAATGTAAAAGGAAGAAAATGATAAGTTATGATATGTTAATGCTCGAAACCATGTGATGACAACTAGAAACATATCCCTACCATCATATTAAGAAAGAATGTACTTCGAGTGATCATGTATTCAGATTAAGTCACGTGAATGTGAAAGTGAACGTGAATGTGAAAGTGCTGAATTCCTAATTTGTTAATAAAATATTCATACTTAGCACTCGATAGACAAGTTACAATATAAGTGTTATATTATATTATTCAATATTTTACTTTTAATTTCTTTCTAGTCATCTACATTTATTTTTTTACAATTAAAATAAATGTCTTATTTTTCTATGCGACTTACAAATTGACATACCTTTTCCCATTTTCCAAAAATTCTGGTTCAATTAATGTCTTCTAATTTCTCAAGATTGCGACTGAAAAATATAAACTGCAAAAAATATGCACAAAGTAAACTGTACTTACAGAGCCTAACATCATTATCATCTTTGTTATTATGATCATCAAATTTCTAAAAATTAAAATTTTGTTGACCCCCTTCTACAACTACATTATTATAGATATTATTTAATGTAATTTTTACTTCAAAATTAGATCTATAAATAACTTCATGTGTTTCATGCTTTAAGTCTTTTCAGTAACTAAATGGGCATAATAGCCGACTTAGACGGCAGGTGGCTAAGGGGCTCAACGCTTCGGCTCGAAGGAAAGCGTGTTCGAGCTTCGCCTTCGGCATGGTTGTTTGTTCCTTGCCTCACGTCATGTATGTGCTCGGATTTTGTTTACAACATTTTAAATTGTTACAAAATGGTTAAATATTCCTGGGACATCGGGGACTCTCTCCTCTTTAGATTAGTAGAAGTTGGAAATTGTTTATAAATTTGCAAATGTTACAATTTTTATTGTCCGTTCTCAATAACTCGTAAATGGAATACAAAATTCCGCAATCCGATCGGTGCTATTAACTTCCGTTCTTGAGATATTTAATTGTTTATTAGATATTAATTTATTAGATCTTGTTTATTATATCTCGTTAGATCTGATCACATCATACGCCCAAAGCTGGGGACAGAGGTGATATCGCGGCCTCAGTAGCGCCTAGAGGCGATAAATTCTGCCTCGGAGCGAAATAACTGTCTTTACCATTTCTTCAAAAAAAACAACAAACAAACAAATAAGACGTAACGTTTATTGGTAGTTCAGAGATCTTTGTAAATTTAGCAATGAAAATAGCAAAGAATACCACACTTTTGTGACCCAAGCATAAAAACATTTTCAACTGTAATTAATAATATTCACACATTATATAGTGAAACAGAAACCTTCCACAAACTAGTGAAAAAATACACAGTAACCAAAGTAACTGGCCTTCACGGAAAAGACAGAAAATCATTAACAACTTGTGCTGTAGATTTAGAAGACAACAAGGGAGGAGCATTCTAGCCTTAGATTTGTAAACACTGTTATTAGGATGTTTCCTAGCTTCAACAAAAATTACCAATTCAATGTAAAAACTGGCAAAGATTTCATCACACTCACGCTAGTAGAAACTATAGCAATAAATACCAAAATAAACAACAATACAACTCACTCATGTACCCTTACAATAATAACATAATTCCGGACTTATTGAATATCCTAATAACAAAAAATATTGATTTCCCGATATCGCAAAAAGTAATTTCTGAACTCGTCTCGGATCACAACCCAATAATCACATCACTTCACCCCCTCTATCTATTATATTTTTATAAACAGCAAAAAGGTAAAATTAACTTGTTTAAATTCAGAGAAATGTTAACAATCCACTACAAACATTCGCACACATTCAATCCGCAAATGTCTTATTTAATGAAGTCAAACGATAAGCCAGCAACATACAAGGATCCCTCACTAATTCTACCACTTATCTCAAAGGAACAAACTCGATAAACAAGCAAGTAATTCCAATAAAATCATACACCTAATTAAAAGAAAACACAATTTAAGATGCTGTTGGCAAATGACACGACAAGACTTAAAAAGAAAATTATACAAACTGACGAGACTAGTTAAAACAAAACTAGACCAACATAGATATGCAAGTATCTAGATTTGTTTTCTAAAAGAAATTCACCCACCATATAGGCATATGTGGTCTACCATACAGAGAATAAAAAAGACAAAAAGAATTTCCACAAATTAAATTAGTTTCACAAGTAGCAGACTAATTTTCAGAAAACTTTTTTATAACCAACTACCTTGAAAAGTCGTTCAACCCAAATCCAGTCGAGAACGATCACTTTAATAAACAAGTAGAGGAATTCAATCAGAAACCACTATATTCAGCCCAGTTAATATACAATATATATCCCCATCAGAAGTGAAACAAGAAATCAACAAATTAAAAACTAATAAATCAGCAGGATACAATTATATTTCGAATAAAGTTCTAAAATAACTAAATAACAATCTGACAGCAATATTTAAAGCAGTACTCAGAATAAGTTACTTTCCCAACTATTGGAAAATTGCTAGATTGCTACCCTTTCGCAAACCAGGAAAGAATCCAAGAGACCCAGCAAACTATATACCAATAGGCCTGCTCCCCTCATTGTCGAAACTATTAGAGGAACTGATTTTAAAACAGATAATAAAATTCCAGACACGTAATTCCAGACAAACAGTTTGGAACCTAACCACTTAATAACACATCAAATATTACTGTTATCCGAATATAAAGCACAAGGATTCCATACCAAACCACACACTATAGCAATTTCCTGGATATAACCAAAGATTTCGACAAAATATGGCATCAATGCATTCGCTACAAATGAAGACAAACAGGTACTTGATGTAGTGCAGGATTTGTAATGTGACAGTTTTTTGTTCCTACATATTTTATAGTCTGGGCAAAAAATTCTCCTGAACAG